GAGTGTTATATTTCACAGATTTTTTCTCGGAATAAAGGAATGAGAAAGTTGGAGATCGGAGCAGAATTATTCCATTTCCTTCCTTCCCTAGCTGCGGAAGTAAGTAGGACGAAAGAAGCGACAGGTTGGTTCGGACGCGGCAAATATTTGACCGCGGTTCCTCGCACGGGCTACCAAGGCGAGGCCAAAGCGAAGAAATGGAGAAGAACCGCGAATGGACCGCCGCCCGCCGCCCGCCTTCTCTGCGTTTCCCAGGGCAAACAGCGTTATCGCGGAATATCCGTCCACGGGGACGGCCAATCTGGCGAACGTGGGAATTGTCGCGCCACCTAGCCCCGGTGTCTCTCTGCCGGCTAAAAAACCCTTATTGCACGTGTTCCGTGAAACTGGCGGATTCTTGACCCCGGAAACCGGCCTAACCCCTTCACAATAGATTCCATTGAAGAGGCAGGCGTTTATCTGATTTCGGGGGGGAACACACCTTTTATCGCGCTCGATTTCCAAGATCCTTCCGCGAAGCCGTTGGAGAAATGTCGAAATCCGGCAGACCCCGGTGTCCGGATACGAATTCACGGACAAAGAGGCATTCAGTCGTAAATTATCGGCACGATATACTTAATTAATTTCCTCCGAGGCTCGGTCTCCTCGCGCTAATCACCTTAATCTCGGAATCCATAAATATCCCGAGAGTACGTTGACATCCTCCTAGATTCGGCGTACGATGTAAATATTTGCCAGAACGAGAGAGAGAGAGATAGGATCGATAAATTTTTCGACAGTTCGAGCATTATTCGGTGCGCGCACAAAGAGCCGTAAACCCTTGGGCAGCTGTCCCGATTCTTCTATTATCGCTCGGTTGTACGTGTTTTCCGTAGCTATCCGTCCATTCATCGGAATCTCGACGCGAGCCACGCGATAATCTCGATGCTGCGCTCTCCTCTCCTCTCCTTCCCGAGAATAAAATTCTTCGGACAACGAGACCATCGAGTCGCTTATCGACCCTCTCCGATCCTATCCCTAATTACCGCCGTAATTAGCGTATTTCCAAACCTCCCAAGCGTCGCCGCTCGCCGCCGCTCGCCGCTGCTCGCCGCCGCAAATCTAATCGCCTATCGAGTACACACGGGATCGGGAGATGGCCACGTGTGAATTTCATACCGGTACGTTTCTTCAATAGCAAGTCAAACATCGGTACCGGTTTATCGTCCCGTTACCATGGTAATTATGTCACAGATATCGATAAATTCTCCTCCGTCGCTGCTAGTTTTACGTTAAACGCGTCCAACTTCTGGCGAACCGATCGTCTACCAACGAGTACACGCTACTTCAAGTACACACTTGATCGGTAAGTGCTCCGTATGCCTGTTCAACGTATACCCTTCCATAAATATACGCAGAGAAAGTCCACCGCTAGTTTCCAATTACTCGCACTGATTAGTCGAATAACGTTCAAGTTCCTTCCAGTTTCATCCTAGCCAATTTTGCCAAAATCGCGATAAAATCAACGTGCCCTGCCTTATGCCACAGACGCGATTCGTATTCCGGCAACGAGTTAGACGAGGATAGCGATAGTGCTGTGCGTTAGCCAAGGACGGAAAATTTGAAACGGGACGCCAACGCCATCTCGCGTCTGGTGACGCGAACTAGAATTTCTTAACAGGCTTACAGAATATAAACGGAGGTATTGGACAAGGAAAGCGGTAGTGTGCGACAAGGACAGAGAGAGAACGTTTCCCATTGGCTGGCGGGCACCATAGCTCCACCTCCCACGGGCTAATCAACTCGGTCGAGGAACATTCGTTGATAACTCGATAATTACCACGATTCTGTGAACTTTTAGAATTGAAGAATATACCGCGAACCTTGGGCAACTTTCTCATGTAGTTTTCAGCGCGCTAGACCCTTTCGATAATTAGTTATTAAGAATTTTAGTGCGGCATGTCGGGAACGATACCGCGTACCTTATCGGCTTCTCATTAGCTTTTCGGCTTTATACAAATAATCAACGCACTTTCGTAGATGCGTTCGAAAGGCTATTCCTTTAGCTAGTTTCCGTCGTAATTTGCGAGATATGAAATATTGTTTGGGTAAGTGATTTATTTTGCACTTTCAATCATTTCTGAACCTGCTTACCGATGTAGGTATATCAAACGCGGTTCGTTACCATGTCATACTCCCATGTAACGCACTTAGTTAAGGGAGCTGCCTTTCAGATGCATATAGTTATTTGCGCGAGAATTTAGTAAAAAGCTACGAAACGATTGAAAAACAAGCGTAACAGATTTTCGTTATTTCAATAGAAATGCGTGACAAGCGATGCACTTTCAAGCATGCAGAATGGACTTTTATCTATATTCTCCAATTAGTTTTGTAGCTGTAAGTCCGGCTGTAAGGTTTATTAGATATTAGCAATTGTTTATAACAGTTGACAATACTCAGGTACGATGTACAGTGAACACCCTCGTATATATAACGTTCAACAACTCCTGAACTAAACGGATTGTGTTAATAACAGCTGTAGAGGAATTTAGCCAAAGGAGTTACCTTTCAGACACGTATAGTTAGTTGCACGGGAATTTAGTACAGAGGTACGAAATTATTGAAAAACCGTAAAGATACCCGAGGAGGGTATGCGGTATCGTTCCCGACATCGCCTACTAAAATTCTCAGTAACTAATTATCGAAAGGGTCTAGCGCGCTGAGAACTACGTGGGAATGTTGCCGAAGCTTCGCGGTATATTCTTCAACTCTAAAACTCGACAGAATCGTGGTAATTATCGAGTTGTCGACGATTTTTCCCCGAGCGACTTGATTAGCCCGTGGAAGGTGGAACTATGGTGGCCGCCAGCCAATAGGAAACGTTCTCTCTCCGTCCTTGTCTAATACCTCTGTTTACATTCTGTGTTCCTATTAAAAAGTCGTAGTTGGCGTCGCTAAGCACGAGATGGCGCTAGTCCTTGTCTGACACATTGCTATCGTGCTATCCATGCCATACCGTGCCTCCTCCCCTCTCTATTGTTATCATATATTTATCAATGTAAGAGAGTAGAGTTTTTATTACCGAGGGTTTCCATGCTTCTCAATCGAGCACCGTCTAGTGCACGAAAGTCGTAGGAACGATTAGACGATAGAATTATTATCCGGACTTTAAATTGTACGGTACTTGAACCGGAGTGTTTCTTCTGCTCAGGCTTGCCGGCGGTGTTCCGAGGGGGAAAGATGGGGAGGAATGGGGAGAATGAATTGTTTATGAAAGAAATTTATTATTTACCCTGAGTTACAAATCGTTCCTTAAACAGATACATACATAGTGTTGTGAAAGTGAAGATGTTCCTCGAAAAAGTTTTCGAAACTAATTCGAAAATTGGTATAAATAGTAGGAAGTTGAGGGGAAAATGTTGGGTAAAACGCTGCCTAATTACCAGCGGCGCTGCTCGACATAATTGGCATTTGGCAGAGAGCGATTGGAGATAGGATGCAGCAGCCAGCCGCTAGCTTCTCGGAAGAAGAATCTGTTTTTCGCGGTCGTCTGATTGAGTCGAATGCCGATCGGAGATATCGCTGGACGTTCCTTCAAGGCCTTAATTTTCTTTTCGCCAGTCCTTTCGAG